CCTTTCAAAAAGACTGGCAGACTAAATTTTAAAATATCTAATCTGCTATCCACAAGAGACTCACTTTAGATCTAAAGGTAAAATAGAATGTTAAGTGAAAGCATAGAAAAATATATTCCATGCAAATGGTAACCAAAAGAGAGCTAAGGTGACTACACTAATATCAGAAAAAATAGATTTTAAGTAAAAACTGTTGAGACAAAGAGGCACAATATAACAATGATAAAAGGGTTGATTCATTAAGCTGCTGCTGCTGCTAAGTTGCATCAGTCATGTCCAACTCTGTGCGACCCCATAGACAGCAGCCCACCAGGCTCCCCTGTCCCTGGGATTCTCCAGCAAGAACACTGGAGTGGGTTGCCACTTCCTTCTCCAATGCATGAAAGTGAAAAGTGAAAGTGAAGTTGCTCAGTCGTATCTGACTCTTCATGACCGCATGGACTGTAGCCGACCAGGCACCTCCGTCCATGCAAAACAATTATAAGGATATATGCACCAAACAGAGCTCCACAGTATATGAGGCAAATATTAATAAAAACTCCACAATAAAAGAGACTTGTGGAGACTTCAGTTCACCACTTTCATCAATCATGGATAGAATATCTACAATAGAATGAAGAAAAAAATAAAAGAAGTAAGACTGGGCCTTCCTTGGTGGTCTAGTGGCTAAGAATTTGCCTGCCAATACAGGGGACGTGGGCTTGATCCTTTGTCTGGGAAGACTACACATGTCATGGGGCAATTGAGCCCATGTATCACAACTAGTAAAGCCTGTGTGCCCTAGAGCCTGTGTTCCACAAGAGAAGCCACCACAATGAGAAACTCACATATCACTACTAGAGGAGCCCCCACTGCTTGCATCTAGAAAAAGTCTGTGTGAAGCAACAAAGATCCAGTGCAGCCAAAAGTAAATAAACATTTTAAAAATAAGTAAAACTGAAAATTCACAAATATGTGGAAATTAAACATTTTAAAATAACCAATGGTTGAAGAAATCACAAGATAAACTAGAAAATGCCTGAGATGAATGGGAAAAAAAAAAATCCCAACATACTAAAATGCATGGAATATAGCAAAAGTAATGCATCTGGTAAATTTATAGCTGTAAATGCCTATATTAAAAATGAAGGTCTCAAAATCAATAACCTAACTTTACATCTTGGGGAACTAGAAAAAGAAGAAAAGTTAAGACCAAAGCTAGCAAAAGAAAGCAAATAATAAAGAACAGAATGGCGATAAATTAAACAGAGAATAGAAAAACAATAGAATCAACGAAGTCAAGTCATTTATCAGAAGAGATCAATGAAATTGGCAACACTTTAAGTTTGGGCACGCTCTGGGAGTTGGTGATGGACAGGAAAGCCTGGCATGCTGAAGCCCATGGGGTCACAAAGAGTCGGAAATGACTGAGCTGAACTGAACTAAGTACTGACTCCCTCCCCAAAAGATGTCTATAAGGAAGATTCACAAGCAATACAAACAGTTCACAGTAGGTAACTAATGATAAGTGATTAGTAAACACATGTTTCTCCCAAAATGCTAGAGGAACCTAGCAGTGGGGTGGGATGAATTCTCCTTGAAGAGATCTGGGCAGTCTTAGTGAAGGAGGTGAAATTAAAGCTGGGCTTTGAGGAATGAGTGAGATTTTCTAACACAGCATAAACTGTGTGTGTGGTGGGGTACATAGGCAACAGACCAGGGTAGTGAAATGAATTATGAATCTAGAAACCTAAGGTGAAACTATGGCTAAAAACCTTGAATACCAGATTTATTCCACAGTACTGGGGAACCATTGTAGGTGTTAAAGAAAAGGGACATAAAGAGATGAGACTGGCATCAAAAAAGAAATGTTAAATGTTTTTCTGTTCCAATGAACAGTTCACTCCAAATATTTTGTAAATGTATTAATTCATTTTACTGGCTCTAATGGCTTAAAACTTTTTAATGACTTCTCATTGTTCTTTTAAAAAATATTCAAACTTTTGTAACAAGCTCTAAGATCCATATAGGTTGGTCTCTCCTTTCCACTCCCACTGAACTCACTGCCCTTGCTCTCCAAACTGCTGCCACCCTGGCCTAAAAGTCCCCTCCCACCACAAGGGTTTGTGTCTGCTGTCCATCTACTGGACAGCTGCTGCCCTCCTCTTTGCCTATCAGTCCTCTTCCTTCAGATTACAGGTTAAACAATCTTTCCTGAAGGAAAACTCCCCAACCTCCCCATTTATATGCTATCATGGCACTTTCTGTCACAGCATTTAACAGTGAATAGATCTAGGTGTGATCTTTGATGAACATTATCTCCTTTGCTATGCTGAAGCTCCATGAGGACAAGGGCTTCTCCCCCAGCTGACAACTGTGTCCCTGATATCTATGCAAAGGAAGTATACCGTAACTACTGATATTTTTTGGAAGAGAAAAAAAAAAAGTCAGAAAGAACCACTTGGGGGAAATTTGCTCACCTATCAGTTTTTTTTTTTTTAAAGTAGGAATTATAATTCATTCCATCTTCTGCTGTTTTAAGCCCCTTAGAGCTTGTCCAAACTCACATGGCTTGTCAGGAATCAAACTTAGGCTTTTTTTTTTTTTTTTAAAGAAAGCATGTTTTCAGGTACACTGTATACATAAGAGAGAAAAAGGCAAGAGTCGGCCTTCTCACAAGTACAAATGTAGTGTTTCTTCTTTCAATATATATATATACAGGTCATCAAACCTCACTTATATAAAGGCTTATAAACCTGCAAGCAGAGGCAAAAGACTGTTTTTCACTGTCCTTTCTTGGAAAGTCCTTGCCCATATGGTGCTTTTTCACTCTACTTCCTCTTATCAGGAGTTTGTGATACATAATTAAACTGAGTTGAGCACCTCTGAGAGAAGGCATGTTAGGCTGGTGTAATGATCATCTTAAAGACCAACGCCAAGTTCCTCTGACGTTCCAAAGATTAGTCCTGTGTCTGGTGGCACAAATATACTCTTCTGTAGAAAGTAGCAACTCATGGCTCAGCATGATGCCTACTAGCATTTAACCTGTGAGGTTTGGTACATCACCTGTCTCTGAGCCACCAGTTTTTTAAGTGGTAGTGGTACAAATACTAGACTTAAAAAACAGATCACCAAACTTAGACTTACAAAATAGAGCACAACTGTGCTTGGGATTTTCACATAAACAATTTCATTTAATCTACACAATAATTCTATGGGATCAGACTTATGGAAAATGTGACTTCCTCAAGTTCACATGACGAGTAAACAGAGGAGCCTGGAACTCAAAACCTAACCACTATTTCCTTTGCACCATCCCAGGCGCTACTGAAGTCTCCTATCACAGCAGTGTATTGAAATGTATTTAAAAGCATTTTCAACTATAAAGCTCTATACATTTTTAAGGATGTTAAGTAATTTGCTACATTAGAGATGAAGAACAAGAACCTGCTTATAATTTTAAGGGTGATGAATTAATCTCCAGAAAACAATTTACTTTTAAGAGTAGTAATATTTCTGTACTTCAAAGTTCTCAATTTAAATAATAAAATAGAAAATAATTCAATTAAGAAATAGGCAAAGAACATTTATCCACAGATGTATGAATGGCCAATAAACACATGAAAAAAATGTTCATCATTAGCCACCAAGGAAATATATATCAGGACCCTTCCTATGTTAGCATAACTACAATTAAAATTACAGCCAGTATTGGCCAAGACAGAGAAACTGGAGCTCTCTGACACCGCTGGCAGGAATATAAACTGTGCAGTCACTGTAGAAAAGAGTTTGGCAGTTCTTCAAACTGTCAAAAATACTTACCACATGACCCAGACATTGCACTCCTAGATATTTACCCAAGAGAATTGAAAACTTATGTAAAACTTGTACACAAATGTTCATACAGCATCATTCTTAAGCGCCTCAAAGCAGAAACCATCCAAATGCCATCAACTGATGGATGGACGAAATGTGGTATAGCTACACAGCGGACTGTTACTGAGCCATAAAAAGGAATGGGGCACTGACACACACTACAACATGAATGAACCTTGAAAACACGACACCAAGTGAAAGGCGACAGTCATAAAAGACCACCTATTATATGACTGCATTTATGTGAAATGTCCAAAACAGGTAAATCCATTGGGACAGAAGTGATTAGAGGATACCTGGGGCCAGGGTGGTGGTGGTTTCAGGCACACAGGGTTTACTTGGGGGGCTATACAAATGCTCTAAAACTGACTGTAGTGATGACTGCCCAGCTCTAAATATACTAAAAAACCACTGAACTGTAATACTTTAAATGGGTGAATGGTATGACGTGAAGTAATCTCAGTAAAACTGCTAATTTTTTTAAATTCTGTAATTTCACCATAAACTGCAACTGCTAGTACGAAGCATTTATCAAAGATTCCTTTAAACCAAACGGATTTTTCTTATCACTGCTTATAACAGTTGTTAGGGTTTTATTAATTTTGTAGCATTTGCATTGTAATCTTGGAATATCTTTCACACGGATGATGTAAACTTACATTTATGGACTTAAACATATGAAACAGTAAAAGAACTAATGCTAAGATTTTCAGTAAAAGGATGCCTAGAGATCCATGAATGGTATTACCATTCACCCACTAAATTAAGAAACCTAAGAGCCACTCTTGTTTCTTTCCTTTAGCCTTCATATCCATTTCATCAGCCAGTAACCCTGCTTGTCAACTCCATAAGGGAAGGATTGTCTGTTTTATTCACTATGGTACATACCTGGTGCTTAGCCTAGCATCTAGCACACGGAAGATGTTTAATTAATATTTGTCAAATAAATTGAGAAATTCATGCTGTCCTTGAGATTAACAGCTTTTAAAAGAAAAAAAAAATTAAATCCCTCATTTGATAATTTTTTAAAATTATATTAATTTTTAAAAATGCAGACTATGGAAATTTCATTTGCCATTTTAGTTGCTGAAACATATTAAGGCTAAATTCTCAAAGGGACACAGATATGCTATGGTGCCGGAACATGCAGAAGTAGAACATAGTGACTTTATTCAAGTTTGCTGTTACCTGATCCACGAATATTTAAAAGATATTTTATTTTATAAAAACTTACATCTGTAAGTAATGGACTGACCGTTAACAGAGGGCTTAACCTGGAACACATAGATAGGCTTAGAGGCCCATGAACCCCTAAAGATTGCAAAACCTAACATGTATATTGGCATGTGAGAGTTTTCACTCTTTTTGGTGAGAGTTCAAAGTGTCGTCAGATTTTCAAAGAAGTCTATGACCCAAAAGGTTAAAAAAATTACTTAACTAGAAACAATCACAAAGTCTTTTAAACAGGAATTTGTACAATAAAATAATACCCAACAGCTCCATCTATGGGTATAAGTCATTATCGTGTAGCAGAAATAATGACAACTACAAGAAATCAGTGCATCTGTGAATGCCTGTGTTTAAATCTTCAGTGTCACTCTAGTGGGAATTTATTAATTATAGGATCACAGTTGGGTTTTTTTTTCCAGATATAGATGTAAAAATTAGGAGACCATCGAAGAATTCTACTTTACAGTACTTCAGCACCAAAAAATTGGGCAGTTATGCTGATATATGTATATACAGTTCAACATTTGTCAGTCTTAAAATGCTTATAGTGAAATCTATATAAAACCGTTAAAAACTTTTCTATTTACATTTTTTTAAAAAATGAAAAGTATAGTTTCCTTTGCCACAACTTGTCAAAACTGACTTTTACCCGTTCCCACCCTCTTACCCTTCACTCTACTTGTGACAGACAGTGATCACAAGACCCAAACATATTGCTTAAACAAATCATGTCCTAAAAAGGTAGAATGCTTAAAAACATTACATTTAGAACTGTAAATGAACTTTTTATACATTTCAAAGGGGGTTAAACAAAGGTATTTAAAAGTTATTTTCAAAGTCTCAGTCCAACATGAATGTGCAATTTCAGTGTTAAGATAGCATCATATGAATAACTTGTTTTCCTGAACATAACTGAACATTTCCTTTGGACTAGAGAATATTTCTTTTCCTCTGTTTCACAATGAAACATTTTCTCATCAGTTTTCTTAAAGGAGAAAGGGGGCGGGGTGGGAGGTGGAAAGGGTAAACAATCCTGGCTTACAGGAAATTTGTCAGAAGGAATATGGCCTGCTTTGAAATGTTTACATTTAAATAAATAGAAAGCAAGTGTGCTGCCTAGAGCACAAAGGAACAACAACACAATAAATTAGCATACAACTGGTGAGAATGTACAAACCACCCAAAGAAGCACTTCCCACTGGTGGAGGGACCTGATTTCCACCATCTAACAAGGATTCTTTAATGCCAGTATCAAAGAACTAGTTATTTTATAAGATATGAACTGAGGAGATGTAAAATGTTAACCAATTCAGCACTTGCAGGGATTTGCAAAAACATACAAGATTTTTTAAAAAAAACAAAAATGTTTCTGACACACTGTTTCAAAATACAAACTATTCACATTCTCCTTTTTTTGATGGTGTTTGCTCAGTAGAAACCAGTTGAGGAACATTCACAGGAAAAGTCTCTTTCCACTGCAAGACAAACTTTTCCATTAGCCATGGTCCAATAGAGAAAGAATATCAGGTCTTATGTCGCTGTAGATGTGCATCTTTTTTCTTTTTCTAAAAAAAAGTACATTCCCCTGTGAGTTTTATCTTGTTTTAAAATGCTACTCCTGCAGCAATTCTTGTTGAAACACTGCTGTTTCAGGGTCCACAGTCTAAGCATGGGCAAAGTGCTCTCTTTAGACATCAAAATTACAAGGGCTTCCCTGGACACTTGGTAACCAAGTAGGTTTTAAAGTGCACTCCTGTGTCCAAAACACTAGGATCGCTCAGCAGAACTCTGAGAGGGGCTGGGTTCAGTTCCATCCTCTGTGCTACTGTCTATGTCCTGCTCCATGGCCGTCTCATCATCATCCAACTGCTGACTGGTGAAATTGTTCAGTTCAAGGAGCCCGCTGGGCTCTACGACCACATTGGAGCTGGAGTGGCAAGGAATAGCATACTGGGGAATGGCCTGGAAGAGAAAACAGAGGAGAGAAGCTTCATGGTTAAAAAAAAGGGGGGTAATAAAAGGATATCCTCAACAATAACAAGGAAGGAAATAAGGAAACTGACATTAACTGGACAACTACTAGATTGTAGTAGTATGCCAGGCACTATGTTAGATGCTTAATATTATTCCCATTTTACAAATGAGGAAACTAAGATAGTAAGTGACTTAATCAAGGTCACACAGTTGGCCGGGGTCAATGCTAGGATGCCAGGATTCAAATCCGAGTCCTCTGCAACGCAAAGTGATCTCTCCACTCCTTGATGGTGCCTCTTCTAACAAAGCAGGCTGAAGCCCATGCCTCTCAAGAGACAGACTCTGGGGATATTTTTATTTGGTCATTAAGCAAATTTTAAATGTAAATGCATCAGATTTTGCTTCTGTAAGATGAATGATTAATCCACTGATACCACAATATTTTTAAGCCCTTTGGTAGTTCAAAGGTGAACTTATTTGTTTGGGTCACAAAGTAACAATATTTACTGAAAATAAGGCTAGAGAGGACAAACAGTCTTTTAAACAGTAAAAGTACCAAAAGATAAACACATACTAGGCCATATTGCCTTGTCAGATTCTTTTTTTCTCAACTTTGTTATATAGCTTCTTAAAAGGTGTATCAGTCCATATCATACCCCTACTTAAAATTCTACAATTGTTTCCTACTGTTCTTGCTATAGATCAAAAACCTTACTGTGTCTCCAGCCTTATGCCAAACTCACTTGTACCATAGGGTGTGTGCACTAGTTCTTCCCCTCTTCCTGGAATATCCTTCCTCCAAATCTTTACATGGCTGGTTCCATTCTTATCATCTGCATCTTAGCTCAAATGCTTCAAGTAAAAGGCTTTGAGAAGCCTTCCTTCTATGAAAGTAAACCAGAGTACTGGGTCGATCCCAACCCTAGCCCCTATTATGTTCTGTAACATTTTCTTCATTGATTTATCATCTCTTTGTTTTCTTCTCATCTTTAGAATGTAAGATCCAAGACAGTTTGAACCAGAGCACAGATCCTGACTATCTTTTTCATTGCTAGATACCCAGAACTTTGAACAGGGTCTGGCACACATTGAAACTGAAAGTCGCTCAATTGTGTCTGACTCTTTGCAACCCCAGGGACTATACAGTCCATAGAATTCTCTGGGCCAGAATACTGGAGTGGGTAGCCTTTCCCTTCTTGAGGGGATCTTCCCAACCCAGGGACTGAATTCAGGTCTCCTGCATTGCCAGCAGATTCTTTACTTTCCCAATGAATAATGTATCTTTTTTTTTTTTTGAATGATGTATCTTTAACATAAAAAAACCTAGGAGCAAAGTTGAATATCAGCATTTTGAAAATATACCTAACCAAAACAACCTTCTACTGAGGGGATATGCAAATTTAGTTTTAATATTATCAAGAAAATAGTGCAAGATGCCTAGGCATTGATTCTAAAGTGGTAAAGTTTTTTGTCTTCCCTCACCCTCCTGCCCTTGTTCCATACAGCTGATCACTGTGAAAAAGTCTCTGGTGGGATAAGAATTTTAGTTCAGCTCTAGCTGTGACTTGCTGTGGACCTCTGAATAAGTCACTTCCCTTCTTAAGCTTTAGTTTAATTTTGTGTAAAATAAGATAATTAGAAAAGATATGCTTTAAATATCCCCACAGATCTAAATTCTATGAAATCCATATACATACAGACTCCTTCAAAATAGAAGATAAAACTCAACTTGTTTACTCCTCTATGCTTACACCTAGCACAGTGCCTGGAACACAGAGGTCATATAATCCATGTGGAATGAATGAATGAATGAATGAATGAATAAAAGAAATATGGATTATCTGTCTACAAAGTACTCAATATTAAACATGCTGAATTTGTACAGAACATTTTTCAAGAAATCAAAGAACTTCTGCAGATTTCTTTCACTCAAGTCAGTAGGTATTTTACTGAATGAGTAAAAATCAATACTTTGGGTCAAAGCTAAACATAACTAGTGAGACCTGAAAATAAATGTTTTAACAATCTGTTAGTGATGATTATAACAACAGGAGCTATCCTTATTGAGTATTACTCTATATAGGACACTTAATCAGATATTTACTCAATCCTCAAAACAACTCTTTGAGCTATTATTGTTTCCTCTTCATCACAGGGACAGAGGTTAACTGTTGCTCAAAGCCACAAAGTAGGTAAGGATTACAGGTGGGATTCAAATCTAGCTATTTCTGACTCCAAAAGCTTGGTCCTTAATGCTGCTCTTCCCTCTGACACAGTGACACATTAACCCAGAATATAGTAAACACTAAAAATTAGCTCAGTATTCTTGCAGAGAACCTACTCATTAGCTATCATCTTTGACACATGAAGCAAATTACATTTTCACCCCTGTTCATGAAGTATAGAAAATAATTTCCACATAAGCTATTCAAAATAATTTTGAATTTAGTAAGTATATGAACTTAAAAGAACTTAAACTCCCAGGGGCCACAGTAAATTTTGGTAAAAACAGGAATAGCTTCATATATTGGGCAATCATTACAAGTCAGGTACTGTGCTAGGTGCTTCATCTCAATTTTATATAATCCTTATGTCAATCACATAAAGTAGGCATTCCTTATTCCCATTTTACTGATGAGGAAACTAAGGCACAGTGAGGTTAAGAGTCTTGCCCAAAGTCACAGAGTGAATAGCAAAGCCACAAAACCTCCTTTTCCACCAAACCCTACCTCTTCAGTGGAGAAGGGCTTGGCAACCCACTCCAGTATTCCTGCCTGGAGAATCCTATGCACAGAGGAGACTGGTGCAGTTCATAGGGCCGCCAAGAGTCGGACACGATTGAAGCGACTTAGCACGCATGCTACCTCTTCAGCGGGAAAAAACACGTAACAAATCCATTTGGTCAACGATTATTTAGTTCACTATTTGTTTTGACAGGAACAAAATGCTTGAATAATTCAATGGCCAGATCTATTTGCCTTTAAGCATTGCCCCTATACTAAGATAAATCCTATCTGGGTTAATATCAGTCAATTTGCATTCTTTCATGGCTTGGGATCACAGGAAAGGCAAAATTTACTACAGAATCATCTAAGTCACACAATATAGTACAATAAATACTACCATACATAGTAAATACTAGGTTATCCACATTTCAATAAATTCAAATTCTCAGTTAACTAAAATGTGCTGCTCTGATACCTTCCAAGCAAAAAATGACAAATGTCAAGAAAAAAAACCTGAAACCTTGCAAGGAGAGAGGGAAATAAAACATAACTTCTAAAAGCTAGTCTGGACCCAGTAACTCTTCAGTCTGGATTATATATGATGACAGATGAGTTTTATTTTATTTTTTTTGACAGATGAGTTTTAGAATGAAGGGAATGTGAGGCATAGGAAAATCTACTGTCAATGAATAATCCATCATGTTCACTAGCCTGTACTTACCAAGGCAGGAGAGTAACCATAATGAGATTTTTCAATAATATAATGATTGAAATAAAAAGTAAAGCTTTATGGTTAATCCCAAGTTAGTTACAAAATTAAATTACTAAGAAACATTCTCTTACAACATGGTTCTCTAGACATTTCAGTTAATTAAGATTTTATAGTGCTGAAAACCATATATTTGGATCAAGATCAAGAATTGTGTTTCTACAAGGGTCTCTGAAATTAACTTGAAACAGGAGTACAATCCAGTTATATCCCAGAAGTACAAACTACTTATACTCTGGGCAAAGACTGAGAAGCCCAAAATTTGACCTGGAAAGTTACTGATCTTGTAGGTTGACTGCTGAGTCAACACTGGCAAGTGTGGCTTGCATCTATGAATCAAGTGGACACAAGGGCTCAGGGCCCTTGACTGTCTCTGAGGTGTACTGTTGTGACAATATCTATCAATTTTCTACGACTCCGTTTCAAAAAATAATTATAAACTTGTATATTTGTAATAGGTAATAAGCCAAATTTTATAATCTCTTTGCCATTTTGGCTTGACTCTTCCTGTGACATCCCAAAATACACCAAACCCACAACCCTCAAGACACCCAAGATTTCTTGTGTTCCTTCTGATTCTTACCTGGATGATAATTTCTGCTGGGCTCTCTTCAGCTTTCTTTTGGCCTACATTCTGAATACGCATGAACTGGCCTGTCGCAGGCACTCCTGGTGCATCGATTTTCCTTGTTGTTAGGGAAGGGCCAACAGCAGATGGACTTGAACAGGACTCTCTACACTTCTGTTGCTGGGGAGTGGAATTCGCCATCCCTGCCACCATCACATGGGTGGAGGGTAATGATCCTGCTTCACCAGTGAGCACACTAGTGGCAAGAGCCTTCTTTGGGGGATCCACTACCAAATGCTCTACATTTGTATCAATCTGAGCTTCCATCAAAGACATTTTCAAAATGTCTGACACTGCTGTCTTCTCAGAGGCCTGAATGGGAGATATGCTTGTAACTGGTGATGTCAACTTAGGCACAGAACTGCCACCAGTTATCTTTGTAACTGTGGGAGGCTGGCGCCCCTCAAAAGTTATCTTTGTAACAGAGGATCCTTGGGTTATAATTGGCTGCTCCACCTGAAAACAAATTGGGGTTGTGTGTGTTACAGCTACATATCTTTGAGAAAACCTATCAAACACCCCAGACAATAATGGCAAAAGAAACATTTGTGCTGTATATTAGGAAGATATTTTGAAGCTTGGTGTTTCAGTAAGAGGGCTGATGGGAAAGTATCTGGTTACTTTTAAGAAACCTAGCGAAAAAGAGGAGGGGTCAAAAGAACCTTTGTTCAGCCAGCCAAGGTTCATAGCAGTAAAGGAAAAAAAGTCACAGCAGCCTTGTATTCCTTGGGATTTACATCCCCACACAGCACACCTTAAACCCATCTCAAATCATTTCATATAATCTTCAGCTTTTTAAAATAAAGGTAGGGGGTTTCCAATCTTTTGCTTCAAAATACGTTTATACAAACATATTCTATATATATATATATGTATTTATAATACACACATATACACATACATCACTCCAAAGCCACTAATTTTCCCTAATATAATTTTTCTTTTCAATATTCACAGATAATTCCTCTGAAATCTAGAAGATAAATTTATTAACCAAATGGTGGTGGTGTAAACTACAAAGGAAAATGGTCAATGAAGCTCCTTAAAAGACTGTAGTTTACTTATTAGCATTACTGCCACAGAAATAAGAGTTTACAGGCATGGAAATAAATACTTTATGCCTAAAAAATAAAAATAATTTAGGTATATCTATGCATTGTTGATCAATGCTGAAGTTATTTCATTAAAAACTGCCTGGAAATTCAAGTTCTGAGTGCTATGCTTTTTTTCTTCCTATATTAGTGCGTACATTTCTTCCCTAATGTCAACCTTCTGATGTAGTAAAGTAATACCAGCGTAATGAGGCTTTTGAGTTTCCTCTTGCCAGGAGAATGCACCGCTAATCACGATAGGGTCGTGATGTTTTCATTTTTTTCCGTGAACAGAGAAGTTTAACTTTGCATGCTATCAATATTCCGTTACCTGGCTTGCCGGCTGTTTCTCTGAAGAGGCTGGGAGCGGCATTTGGCTCTGGGGGGTTTGGGGTTGCACGTAGATTTTTGGTTGGTTCGGAGCCTGCTGCAGTTTAGGGAGCTGCTGCGTGGTTTTCACTGCAAGCACCTGTACTACAGTCTGGGGGGGCTGTGCCATTAAGGTAGGAAGCTGCCTGTCTTTGGCCACCATGGGATGCTGTGTGTGCTGTACATCTGGCTTGGGCTGTGCTTGTTCTTGCTGGAGAGGGGTGAGTTTCTGATGCCTGATGGAAAGCTGGGGCATTTGCGGGAGTTTGTGCTGGAGCTGGTCTGCCTGCAGGTGGATGGTCTGCTTCTGTTTAGTCTGGAAGCACTGCAGAGTTTTCACTTGCAGCTGAGTCTGTTCCAGCTGTGGCTGGCTAAGTTTCTGCGGTTTAGCTGACTGTGACTGAGTCAGGGCAGATCGATAAAACAGACCTGTCTGAGGGTCTAAAGTGTCCATCTCTTCAACCTCGCCCTCCTCAGTTCCAAGTTCCTCGCTGTGTTTGGTAAAAGCAGTGTGACTGCTTAATGCCTAAGTAAAAAAGGCACAAAGTAAGAATGAAATAAGAAAAACACCTATATTGCTACATTTTCCTCAAATTGGAAAACTTGATTATGAGAATCATTCAAAATTTTCAGAAGGGAGAACCTAAGAAGACCAAAAAACTCTCAAGGTCTCTAAATCTAAAGGCAGCCTTAGATTGAGACTTAAAATTTCAATTCTTAGACATTAAGTACTGCAAAAACTGGCAAATGTACTGCAGTAAGAAAAGTCTCAGAGGGCCCAGAACTTAAAAGGTAAGAAAAATAGGGATGCTCTGCAAGCACAGCACAAGATGAGAAAAGAAAAGGCTCCCTGGCTCAGGACACAGCTCCAGAGCTGTTCATCTGTCCAAAGGAAGAATGCAGCAACCCAGAAGTGAGGTATCCAGAGAAAATTCAAGGTTCAGAGAAGCCCACTTGTGCTGTGCACCCATTTAGCACAGTCCAGGAGGTAGGCATTGTCTGAGGGCTGTGCCCATCCCAGTCTCCACAAAGGGCCTCTTTGCTAAGGGTGGAGACGGGTGGCCAGGCCTACCAAGGTCTGAGTGATATGCCCTCTGCCCCAACCCTCCTCGCCCAGGTTCCAAGCCCACCAGGCAATAGCTTTCAGACACCTGGCTCCCTCCCTGGAGGGTAGGAAACTGTGGCAGCAATAAGAGCACTCCTGTTAGGAGAAACAGAGATGGCCTGATATCAGTTATAATACTGTTGGGAGGCAGCAGCGATCTTGAGTGACATGGTTAGAGCCAGCTGTCCGACCTCCCCCGGTGTCTTGAGAAAAGTCAATGTCAGGACAGCCAGACAAGGGCCAGACTCCAGGCTAAGAGCTGACACCCAGCAAAATCTCTGGCCATCTGGTTTCCCTCAGTGACAGAAGATCCATCTCAATCCCATTTTTCCCACTGCTTTGTCAAATGCTACACATCTACTTAAACTTTAAAACTCTGAGATTCAATGGAAACTCTCCCTTATCTCATAATGAGATTCAATGAAAACTCTCCCTTATCTCATAATGACCTTACGCATACAGGTTTTTAATTCAACTATTTCTTCATGCCTTTCCAGTAGTTTGCCTGTAATTACGGTCAACTGCTACCAGTTGAGTATTAAGTCATGCTTAAATCTGATATTTATGATATCACTTTATAATAGAGGCAGGAATCTTTAGATTTAAATCCTGGTTCTGCCATCCAGAATAGGTTATTTAATTTCTATGGGCATGAGTTTCCTCATTTGTAAGAGGGGTGATACAATCACCTTGCAGGCTCAAAGCAAGAATTAAATTAAAGCATTTAAAGCTCAAAGCACAGTATCTGGCACAAAATCAATATATCAATGTATTTTTAACCTTTTCCCCATTACCCTTGGTACCACATTTTCTGTTTTATATTAATTCATTTTCCTTCCTGTTGAGTCTCTTCCTCAATTGGTCACATTCAGTAAAAGAAGTCAAATAATATTTATCTACTTATTTTTAATGTTCCCATAAGGATTCATTATGAAAGCAAAAAGTAAAACAAATGAAAATCTCAGCATCAAACAGCTTAAAGAAGCCAACTTCTATTTCATTTGAAAATCTTGCCTCAGTGATAAACCCTTCCATAACAAGAAAATACATAGAAACAGTGACCAATTCTGATGTCATAGATTCATCTAGATAGCTTTACCCTTTTGAAATGTTAAGAGTTCACAGAAGACCCAAGAATACTATTTCTTAATTACTTTCTGGTGTTAAGACTCTCAGTTCATTTCCTTTACTCACCCCTCACAGATGAAAGAACTACACTAACACTCTTTAACTTAATTATTTCCCATCTTATAATAGGAGATGAAACTGAATCTTATTTCAGGAAGGAAGCAGCTACAGAAGGTAGAAGGAAAAAGAAGAGATACAACCTGCTGCATTATGTGGGTGATTGCTCCAGGGGAAGAAGCTGGGATGGACTTCACCACCACGGATGTCTGTGTTGCAGTCTGTGACTGAGCCACATGCTGGAGAAGGGTCCGCTGAGGCTGGGAGGGCTGTTGGGGCTGGGAGCGGTGGCTGACTGAAAATAGAGGAGGTGATGATGATATTTCTCCAGAAATCACCACAGCATCTGTAACCAGTAGTCATTTTAAACAATTGTCTGTGAGATTGCATCACAGAGAGAAAGTGTGGTACTAGGAGGCAGAAGACCAGAGTCTGCCCATTTATGAGCTGTGTAACTCTGAGAAAGTCACTTATCTTCTCTGAGACTCTGTGTCCTCATCTGTAAAATGGGAATAACAGAGCTATTATAAGGATGAGATGAGAAATGTATGTGGAGGCACTGTGAAAACTATTACCACAAAGGAGGAACAAATCCCTTAAAGCTACATCCTCCTGTGAGTTGCACTCTTTCTCCAGTGACCTTTACCCCATTAAGGTAACAAAACAACAATCAATTTCTGCAATCAAATCCTAGACTAATATTTTTAAGGATAGTGAGACAGTACACGTTTTTAACCTCTTGATCCCAGTTCTAAATGTAATACAAAAGCCAGAAGCATTCACTCCTTTATATACAAAAGACATTCTCTCATATCCTAAAGATTTAGGAGGTCAAGGTGATACTGCAGAAAGAGAACTGGATTAACAGTCACAACTGGATTCTGTCCCATTCTGCCACCAATCAGCTATGTGAATTTGAAGAGGTCACTTAAACTCTATGTTACTAATCTCTAAAATTCAGAGGTTTTATTTTGTCTATTTTTGTTTTTTATTAGGATAAAATTTCATTCTTAGAAGAGGACCAAATGAAGTAATGAATTGAAAATGGTCCTTAGATTAAGTACCAAAATATAAAGTTAACAAAATAACAGAAAAGTCAGTGTTCTTTTATCTTCTCAAATTCAGCTCATCCAAAACAAATGAATAAGAGTACAGTTCAGGAAATAATTCCACCTCTTAGTCTCTTGCTGGAAGGTCCCATGGAGTAAACTACACATTTAAACTACACATCTATGTTGATGCCAAACTATCACTTTTCATCAGCCTCAATTTCAACTTTTTAAACAGTATAAATACTCAACACTTCTTATTCTACAGAGCTTTAAAAATGTTTATAGTTACTGGAAACCAACTTTTTGAATCAGAAACAGATAAAAATAAATCTGTAAAATTAGCTAAGGATTTTGAGAATATCAAAACCTCTCAATAATCCATGGTTCTAATTCTCATATATCTTGATCTACAATTTCAAGTACTAGTGGTTCCATACTTAGAAAAGTCATAGTCAAATGCCCAAGGATAAGATGATCACTACAAAATCAATGTAAAAGTGCCATTGTGAGTATAGAACTTTAAAGCTATCCAGTGAAAAACAAGTAAGCTTCATTTTTATAACACATTTTATCTATATTCAAAAATGCCATTTTTCTTTTGAACATTTTTCTAATATTTATTTATTTGACTGCACTGGGTCCCAGTACTGCATGCAGCATCCTTGATCCTTGGTGCAGCATGTGGGATCTAGTTCCCCGACCAGGAATTAAACTCAGGCCTCCTACAATGGAAGCTCAAGAGTGTCTGCCACTGGACCACCAAGGAAGTCCCACAAATGCGGTTTTTCTGTTGTTGCTACATATATGCCTACATGTGATATGAGGTGACAGGCAGCACCACCAGTACTCTTTTATAAATGCACTGTAGTATCTTACTGCATTTCACAATAAGCTTTATATATACATTTTAAATTATATGAGTTAATAAAATCTTTCATATGTGCTCAACGAAACTGGAAAAAAGGGAGTCATGGTTTGTATTAAAATAACAAATACTGAAATCATTTACAATATAACTGAGTAAGAGAAAAAACAAATCATATTAATAATATTAAAACTAAGCAAGCAAATCAATGAAGCTTTTTACTGATAGAAGCATCATCAGAAATGAATGACATTTGAAAAATAATAAATATAATTTCTGATGAAATTATCAGATTATATGGAACATTTTTGCTGCCCACCCTAATCTTCATAATTATTACATTTATTAAGAAATGAAATGGATTTCATAGATGATCAACTGAAACCATTTAAGAATAAGTAATCCTCAAGATACTATAAATTCAAGATAATATAAATCTCTTCATAGTAATTCCCCAGAGTGCAGGTAAGTTAAAGAAAAATAACATCCACTGCAGAATAATACAAGACGGTCAGGAAGTTGGCTTTGAAGTTAAAAAAAAAAAAAACACTCAGTGAGGCTGATGATATGATGGGAGAAGATTATAGAAGGGAGGTCACAGAGTAGATATTTAGAAAACAGCTGAAGTGACCTTTATCTGGGCCATATAAACACCATAAAACAGTCACTTGTTTCTTTAAACAACTCTTATTTTTCAATGTCAAACTGCTCATTTCTGAGAAAGAATCTGACTACTCTGCAAAAGGAAAGTCTCTCTCCCTTTTACTGAGTAGAGCTTACCTTTCCTCTACCAGATCAGAGTAGAGCGCATCCATTAAGTGGTTTGCCCCCAAAACAATCATCTTTTACCTTCAGTCACTTTTACTACAAATGGATGCACACCACTTACCTAGAAGGGGAAAAGCAACCTCTGTCCCCTCATCAGTGCGCTCTGAAAAGGATAAGTAAGGGAAGATATCATAGGTCTTGTTATCTATTTACCGTTTGATAATCTAGTCTATCCCCAGAGGTTATTATCGATTTTCCCAACATACTGCCCTCTGCTTTTTGCTAAGTATCTCTAAAGAAAAATGCTAGATAGCTTTACATAATTTTTAATTGGATTTTCCCTTTTGGCAATTTTAATCCATTAGTCTTAACAATATCTCCTAAAATTATGCCAAAAAATTCCTTTTCCACTTTGGTATTTACATCCTTCAAATATTTGCAACTCTATGTTCTCTTATGCTTAAGAAAACAGAAGACAGGTGTTCTTTATATATTGCCTCGTAAGTCATCTCTCCTAAGCCCTAATTATTCATGTTACTACTCTCTGAACTTCTCCAAATCTCGAAGTAATAGAGTGCCTAAAACAGAAAGCAGTATTCCAGGTGTGGTCTCACCAGAATATGAAAGAACCTATTACCCTTCCTGCTCCACTTCTCTACATATGCCATCCAAAAATATCATCAGTGTTTTGCTGCCAGACCACATAAATACCTAATGTGCTTTCCATCACAACTCTTAACTATTTATAAGGATTTAAAAGTTTCCACATTTTTTTCTTTACATTAAAAAGGAGGAGGAGGGTTGGATTTTATACCTTCTTTCTCCCTTGACCCACCTCCCCTTTCCCAAAACTAAAAAATCCAAATGTATATGAGTGTTTATTCCCCTAGAAAAGATATTCTATCCTCTCACTACCAGTACTGCCTGATGTTCACAGATATCTTTAAGGCCAACTACAGTTTTATATTACTTGCAAACTTTATAAAATCTATCAATTTTCTCCCTCTAATCATTAAAGACAGGGTAAATTCCAAAGACAATGTGAATCTGTTCTCAGAGAAAACTGGAAGCGATCAAGAAATATAAAAAATACATTTTCCCCCAAACAATCATCCCATGAAATCCAGAAAGGTAGCACTCCTACCTTAATACTACTTTTTAAAAGGACACCTACCAGTAGTGATGTATTCAGCAACTAGTTCTGACTCTACCACCGCAATTGATGGGCTTTCAGGAGAATGTCTCTTTTCCTGGGTCATCTGAATAGGCACTGCCATTTGACTCAGGTCAATAGTGGGTTGTCTTGGTTTAGATTCCAATTTTTCCTTCACTGTATAAAAAAGTCAGGGGAAAAATTAACTTTATTACAAACAAGTACTAAAACCAGAGTTGTCCATGGAAAAATGAACAAGACCTCTGGGGTGCCACATGGGCAGTGACTAAGAAGCTAGGAAGTTGAAAACAAAAGAGCAGACTACTGTATGGCTATAGAGTGCACAACTTGTACAACCATACTCAGTAGCATAGCAAGAACTCATATGCGTTCAGACTAAAATCTCCACCCTATTATCACCAGGCCAAACCACTGGATCTGTTTCTCTTGTACACACTCCCTTTAGAACATTTCCTTTACCCTTAGTCAAGGCAGTACCTGGTATTCTTGAGTTCACCAACCTAAAAACAAAGGGTGAGTAAGCAGTACATAGCATTATTTGCTCCAGGACACAACGGCCCAGAAGAGCACAACACAGTGACCAGTTTAATTTGATCTATTAAAAATTCAAGATAATCTCCCCAAAAATGTTACATTTTTATGACTCTTGAAGAATAAAAATATTCATTGTTAGGAAAATATGGTCTCTCTGTTCCTGCAAAAATGTCTATGGAATGGTCTGGAATCAAGAATGGTTTCCATGGATAGAATAACTTTCTAAATTATTACCTTTTCTACAAAATTATTTGGTTTCCACACTCTATAAGGCATTAACGGAAATAGTTGAGTATGTCAAAGACAAGGAGCTAAGGAAATGCCTAAAGCCAAAAATAACACCGATAAAAAAATCAAAGACTTAAAATAAATGCTACTATTCTTTGGGTAGTGTAGAGTGGATGTTACAACAAACAGTAACCAGTAATTAAGTCCAGTAAGCAATCATTCAGGTTATTCTCACCAAGCATAAAATGTGATAAAATCAAAATAATCATTTAAAGAAAGTAAAAATAAAACCAAAGGAATACAAAAGTCACTCCACAAGTAGAGAGGACACTGACCTGGGAATCAAAAGACATGGAATTTCACTCTGCCACTAGCCAACTGGATAACCTCTCTAGGTCTCAGTATGTTTATCCATAATGAAATGGTTGGACGAGATCATCACCAAGGTCCCCTAAGAACTCTGACAATATCTGATCTATTATAATAGAAAAGTCAGTATAACTAACAAAGTTTTGCCTAGAGTTTATAGAAGATATTTAGTAAATGGAAATACTGATTGAATCTTGCTAAATGAGAACAGCTTTGCATGGAAGCTCAGGTTCTTAAATTATACAAAGAAGTATGAAGATAAGAAAAAATTAGAATGTTAGCAAGGCCCTTAATGTTTTATGACCACAAAACTGCTCCACCAATATCAAGCAGGATGGCAGGAGCCCTCCAATTTGCCTTCTACTTTTCTTGAATAGAATTGGCAAATGTACTGCATTTATCTTTGTGCTTAGAAATCAACAGACCTACTCCTTTCTGGTGACAAAAGGCAACAGGATTGTCCATTTTGAGCAGGAGAGAGAGAAGAAAAGAACTGTGCTGTTTTTTCTTCTTTCTTCTGATAGAAACAATAGACTACAGTCTATCTATCCTTCAGTACTCTTGTGAACATCTTAATGAACTGACAAGTAAACAGACTGAACCAATGATTATAGACAAGTCCAGAGGGGGGAAATGTGCTCAAATAATAACAAAGAAAATATAACAGTAGTAGTATTTTAGCACAACCCATCTCTAGAGAAAACATGCTTCATTCAACTGAGCATGTGAATTCATACCTGTTGTCTGTTGGAGTTCTAACAGAGCTTTGATTGTTGAAGTAGCTGATTGTGATTCACTGGATACATCCTGATAAATTATGGTGGGGCTAGTCTCCATTGCAATCTCATGTTCTGACCAATCCTGACGCCGGGAAGCAATTACATGAACTACAGGCTGGGAATCTGTTTTATATTAGTTAAAAAAAAAAAACCCTATAAACAAAGTTTCTCTTAAAAAAAAAAAACAATTTGTTCTTTTAAAAAAATCTTTGTTTTACTACAAACTTCATGCTTTATCTCCCCAAAAAGACTGTAAGCTCCCAGAGGGTATAATGTCTTTCATGTCTGTATTCATTTATTCATTCATTCATTGATTCAACAAACTGGGCACCTATGTGCCAGTCTACATTTGGCACTGAGGATATAAAGGAGCTCACAGAATAATCAAACGACGCTCAAGAAGCACACAATCTGGTTGGAGAGACAGACATGTAAAGAGACAAATTACAATTCAATGTTATAACTGCTATAATAAATAGGTGTGCATTTCTGTAGGTGGGTGCATGTCCATGTACCATAAGAACGAAATGCAGTATGAGTCTTATTTTCCCCAATGCACCTAAAAATGTGTTCTGTATTACAACCTGAGCATTCAGTCAACACTTATTGGAGTCACTGAAAGGAAATCCTGTCCACTGACAAGAAAAATGGATAAATGATCTAGAAGCAGCATGATATAATAGGACACGTATAACATTCAGAATTCAAAGTCTTAGGTTACAGTCCCAGCTCTATCAATTACCAGCAAGTTGATTCTTTGGGTCTTAGTATCATTATTTCTAAAATGGCAACACTAAAATTACCTCTCTACCTCACAGGCTTTCTGAGGATATAATGAAATAATATATGTAAAAGAGCTTTATAAACTATGAAGGACAATAGAAATGTTTTATTGTTGTTGTTGCTGTTCTGGCTGTGGCCTGAAAATTTCTCAATTCTAAGCCTTTTTGTTAGTTTCAAAATAAATTATAGCCCTAACTAACTCAAGGCTTACTGTATTCATGCTATATAAGTATGCATGTAAATATTAGACACATCAAATCAAACAACAAATTATTTGAGTTTTCCATCTACAGAATAAGTAGATGGAATAAATAGTAAAAGTATAGTATACACTACACTATTGTTAAGTTCCTAAACTCCTTGGTCCAAGACACCACATAGAGATTACATAGGCTATAAAAGCATGACTCCTACTCTCAAGTTTAGATTCTAATCGAGGAGACATAAAACGTGTGTGTGTGTGTGTGTGTGTATACCTTTGTATCCTGGGATAAAGTCAAATGATTAGGGCAATTATATAATAGAAAGAAAAAGACTACTATGAATTGGAATGATCAGTGAAAGTATCACAGAAAATAACCCATGCAGCCCCAAAACCAAGAATAAGTACAACAATAAGTTCACCCTTCTATGAATTTTATATTTTTGAAAACCACAAAGTTGTTCAAAAAGGTCGAAGCAGGAATGACCCTTCAGAAATAAAAACAAAAAACCTATCTTCCCCAAAAAACAAGATCAATATACAAAATATCTGGAATTTTTATTTACCATAAAAGCAAAACTCTATTTCCACTCCCTACCTTATCCTCTAAACTCTAAGTAGACTATATGCCACACCAGGGATGTGTAATTTCCATTAAACTTCAAAAAAATCCTAGATGATTGAAGAACAACATCATGTAGTAATATCAAATTCCACGTGAGGCTTATAGCAGTTTTTCTTTACTAATTCTAAGAGCATATATAAGAAATTAAACTTAAGAGAGAACTGATTATATTAGGGAATCATTCATTTTATAAAAACTTAGTTCTCAATTTTAAGAATCTCTCATGATGCTTTAAGTACCCCTTCGTTAGGTGAAAGGACCTATAGGCAAAGAATGACTCTGCAACCCAATTCTGTAAAATACACATATTAAATACCCAGAAGAAAGCAAAAACTACACTGGCAAAGAGATAAGGTAAAATAAGACTGGAAAAAGAAAACATATTTCTACAAGGAGCACCTAATCAGACACATCACCCTACATAACATCATCCCATAGGGACTGTGGAGACTGGTTTTTCTCTTTTTGCCCATACACAAAAAGTGCAGCTCACCATACAAAGAATCAATGCAGCAACCCCAATGGCTGTGACACAGAATGAGTGTGAACCTAAACGTGAAAAACATTCCTTGAGTGATTTTCCTCTCTACTTTTGGCTCACACTTAGACTAGATAAATCTACTGCCTACCAAATCTGATGCTGAGGTCAGAGTGCAATAACTGACACAGCAGGAGCCTGATACAACAATCCCATTTGATTATGCAGTGTGCATCCATCCAGATTTCCCTATCTCTCTTGGTGGTAGGTTGATGGTGGCCTACTGACCCTCAGATATCTTTCCTCATAGGTCATTTAACAAATATTTACTGGGCATATACTACATGTTAAGTACTAGAGATATACACTATACTGTTATATCCAAAGGCAGATTTGGGCATCTCTATGGAAGAATGTCTCTTATGTCTTTACTACAAAAACTTTCTATCATATTTGCATAGAATTGTAAGACCTCTCAGGCTTCCCTAGTAGCTCAGCTGGTAAAGAATCCACCTATAATGAGGGTGACCTGGGTTTGATCCCTGGGTTGGGAAGATCCCCTGGAGAAGGGAATGGCTACCCATTTCAGTATTCTGGCCTGGAGAATTCCACGGACTATATATTAGTCCATGGGGTCGCAAAGAGTCAGACATGACTGAGCTACTTTCAACTTTCACATGAGACCTCTCAGCTAGAAAAAATAAAATCTAAAAGTATGTTTAATACTACCATTGATCCTATGTTAAAATCTTCAAAATATCACCACCAGTCCAGGAATCTAGCACTAGAGAACTCACTGTTTTCCAAGGTAGTTTCCCTTCCATCTTTGCACAGTTATGACAATTAGAAAATTTTCTTGTATGGAGTGGAAACAGGTCTTCTGATTGCTACTCAACGGTTCTAGTTCTGCCCATGTACCTACCAAAGACCAATTCTTTTCCCTCTTCTTTGTCACAGTCTTTAAGATAACTGACAACAGTTCCTGTGTCCCCCACAACCCAATCCAATCTTCATCTTCTCTTCTCTTTGATAAATGTCCTGTCTCCACCTACGGTTCTTCATAAAAATGATTCCCAGATGTTGCATGCATCTAATTCATCTATTCTATACTAAACCCAAGATGTATCTTTTCCATGATGTAATAGGTATCTTCCCTCTGAAATACTGTCATACAAAACAAGGCCTTCACAGTATTTAACTGCTTACACAGCTTTCCCCCAAATGTTCCTTAAAGAACATAAGTTCTTTAAGATGTTTTGCAAAAGAAGGGTTCCAGGCTCAAAAAAGTTGGGGGGCATTTTATATTACATATGCCACTCTTCATCTTTCACAATATATATCACCACATAATGACTCTGAAAAGTTCTGCAATAAGTATTGGTATGTTTTGCCTAACCTTCATTCATTCCTTACCCTCACCATGACCTGCTGAGATCATGAAGCTTCTGGAAAAATCATCCTAGAAACCAAGTTACTTAAAACAATGTCTTTATAGGATGCATTTTTGTATTTGCCTCATAAATGTTCCATCTTAAATCCCTACCCTTGATTTTGTCTCCTTTTTCTCTTCCATTTTACTTCACATAATCTTGTATTCTAGCTAGTCTACTTAAAACCTTTTTTGGGAAATAAATTTTTCTTTTAACACTTTTTTCTTTCTTTAAAAAAAAATATGGAACCCAATAAGCCCAGTAACACTGTTCCCAAGTGAAAAAGGGGAAAAAAGAAGATTCATATAGGAAGGAAAGCTGAGGAGTTGTGGAAGGCATGTGGCCCAATTTTCATTTAGCGACCTGGGCAAGTATGACCCTGAACTATTAGAGTTGGTCATCTAGCTGTCTAGCAGTATGTAAAAATACTTCAGGTGTACAGAACTTAAAAGGTCCACTCACTAGGTTAGGAGAAACCCCACAAAGGAAAAAATGTTTTGGATTCAGGCAACAAAAATGAATTTATAAGGCTGAAGCTTAACCCTGTGCCACAGTTGCTGTTACAGCTGCTGTTTTATTTGTTCATTCAGAGAAACCTTTACTAGTGTCTACTTAGAGCTAGCTAATCTCTTCACTAAATACTGAATATACAGAGATGAGTATGATGCTTGCCTCTGAAAAGTTAGTAGCCTAGTGGAAAAGAAAATAATTATATTAAACAATCAAAAAAAGTACAAAATAAAATGATCAATGATAAACTAGCTGGTAGTACAAAGCAATTTTGGAAGCCTAGTATAGAAGCAGTAATGAACCCTCCCAGGGTGATTAAGGAAAGTGCCATAACAAGGTAAAGATGAAGGTCTCTTCTAGCCCATGAGGAGATAGTTCAGAAATAAGGTATAAGGTCTAAACTGCTTCTCCTTTCAGGCAGGGAATGGTGGGTAAAGTTTAGAAACCACAAGTAGAATCAAGGAATCCTTTGGCATAAAAAGACATCTTTATTCTAAGACTAGTATAAAGGAAGTCACTAGAAAAAGGATAGGAAGTCACTAGAAAAAGGATATGAAATCAAGAAAAGTCGATCTATTCTTATAGTAGAATGCCAACTATCAACTACGTAACAAATAATAGACTTTAGAAAATTATCACTGGATGCTAAGACTAGTAGATAAAGATGAGGGATATGATATTTATATAGTTTCAAACCATCTCCCCATATATTACCATTAATCTCAAAGGAAAATATGGTAATTTCATAATGCAAAAAAAAAAAAAAAAAAAGGAAGGCATTAACCAAGAGATCAACATTAACATCATCAATATTGGGACAAACTGACATCAGTGCCTTCTGATAAGATAAAGCTAAGGATACACCACATCTGTGGAATTCATGCTGAATCAAATGATAAACATCAGACAATGCAACTAAATGTAATGCATAATATTGATGTGGACCGTGGACTGGTGGTGGGGGTAGGTTGTTGTAGTGGCAAAACTACAAAGACCATGATTGGATAGTTGATAGCATCTGAATGGATTGAAGATTATACAACTAAATTTTAAATTGTGATTTTGATAACTGTATTTTAGTTATAAAGAGACTACCCCTTAAGAAATATAAGCCAACAAATATAAGTATTTAGAGATAAAGGGCATGACATCTACAACTTGTTCTCAAATGGTTAAAAAATTCAAAAATTATAAACACACAGAGGGCGGCACAGAAAGAGAATCAACAACAAAGTAAATAAGGCAAAATATAAGTAAGTGGTGGATCTAGTAAAAGACTAGACACAGAAGTTCTTTTTATTCCTGCAATTTTTTATAAATTTGAAGTTATATTAAAAGTACTAAACAGAGGTGTGCTAAAAACTACAAAAACAATATAAAGAAAAAAATGGACTGTTATACAGTGCTTATATTCCCAGTAGGTATGAAAACCAAACTTGAGTCTTAGACTTAGCAAAACCTTATCCCTTTCTCTTATAACACAGCATATATATTCCCAATTCCTTGGCTTTGGAGAATGTACTAAGAAACTATACAGTGAAATGGGGAGAGGAGTAAATGAAGACTATAAAAATTGGCTTTAGGGACCTCCCAGGTGGCCCAGTAGTTAAGAAACCACCTTGCAAAGCAGGGGACATGAGTTTGATCTCTGGTCAGTGAACTACGATCCTACAAGCTGCAGAGCAACTAAACCTGCATGTCACAACTGCTGAGCCCACACGCTCTGGAGCCTGTGTGCCACAACTAGAGAGCTGCGTAGCACAACGAATATCTGCATGACACAGTGAAGACCCAGCACAGCCAAATAAAATGCAAATACATAAATATTTTTAAAAATTGGCTTTATAATTAACTATATTAGATATCCTTCTTTGGTGATTTTTTTTCTGTATTATAAAATATTTTAAAAGAAGTAATATTCAATGAAAGATAAATAACAAAAGTAAAAATAAATTATGCCACATATAATAACAGATCAAAGAGCAAGAAACTGCACTCAATCATTTCCAAAAATTGTCAAGCTTTTGTCCATTTCTTAGAATGAAAACTAAAGGCTCCCTAATGTAATGGCATGTTAGGGAAGTAATGACTGGCTTATAGCTCCCTTAGGAAAAAACCAGCAATTTCAAAGGTAACCTGAGATTGTGTATATATAATTTACTGTTCAAGTTCCCATTTCAGCACCAATTCATAACCTAAACATTTTACCTGCCTTTTATGAAAACATTTCTCAAAGGAAAAAACAGCTGAAATTATTCAAGTAAGTACAGACTTGAAAATAAAAGAGGAAAAAAGAATCTTATTGTTAGTTTAAGAACAGAATCTATACACATCAAATCAGTAAGTCTAAAAGAAATAGAGTAAATATGACTCCACTGTAACCAGACATAAACTGATTCACAACCAATATAGAATGATAAATTAAACCTTAGCAAATTGATTCAGAAAATATTACTATTACTGATAATATGCTGAAGAAAATTATCCATTTTATAAAATGAGAGACATACTGTTTGCTAAAATCAATATTTTATTTTTTTATCAATGAGTTTTCAAAGACCATTTCAAATGCTACCTCCTTCATGAAGCTTTCTCATAAAGCTTATTAGATAGTATAAATTTAAAAATAAATGTTCAAATTGAATTAATGGAATAATTAGCAATATGAACCATTAGTAAGACTAATCTGGGATGATTCCACTAAAGGGTTAAAATAATAATGCCTGTACAATATGAAGAAACTGTATTGAAAAAGTGAAGGTGCTAAGATAGCATTCCAGAGAGAATAATGTGGAAGTAAGGAGAGGAAACAGAGTGAGTAAGAATGATCAAAGAAAGGTAAACAGTTCTGTTTCGATATATCAGAGCTTATAAGTACCGACATAAATACACTGCCTGGGTGGTTAAGAAAACTGACACACACACGGGCACTAGATTTGTTGTTGTTGTTCAGTCACTCAGTTGTGTCCGACACGGGCACTAGATTTGTTGTTGTTGTTCAGTCACTCAGTTGTGTCCGACACGGGCACTAGATTTGTTGTTGTTGTTCAGTCACTCAGTTGTGTCCGACTCTTTTGCAACTCCATGAACTGCAGCACACCAGGCCTCCCTGTCCTTCACTATCTCCCTGAGTTTGCTCAAACTCATGTCCATTTAGTCAGTGATGCCATCCAACCATCTCATCCTCTGTTGCCCTCTTCTCCTCCTGTCCTCAATCTTTCCCAGCATCAGGGTCTAGATTTGTACAAAGTCTCAAAGTTTATGATCAATATGGGTGGTTAAGGTAACTGACAGGCACAGGTACTAGATTTATAAAAAATCTCAAAGCTTATGACCATTGAGTTTATTTCAAGGGACTCCCTAAAACAACATTATTAAAATAGCACTAATTATAACTAGTTTCCCTACTATGGAGCCTGGCTTCATATCACTTTCCTCATAATTAGGACAACCACACAATTATCATCTAAACTGGAACACCTATGAGAGTGAAAGAGAATGCTATCATTCTAGAACAGAAATAAACTAAGACTTATCCCATGCAAACTGCAATGTATGAACACCCACATACAGCCCATTTATAGGCCCATCTCTGGCCACCATGATCCTTTCTCAAGGTTCAGCAAAAATCATTTCAAAAGGTACACTCACTTTCTTGCACACTTCTTCTACTTACTCAAAGCAAACAAAAGGAATCACACCTCTATCCAGTTTGATAATACCTATCTGCCAAAATCATCATCTAGTTTATGAATTATTTGGTGAACATATGCCAGGCAAGAAAGAATGGTAAGCCTTACCAAAAACAAAACTTCTGCTCACGTCAAACATTAGACAATAAAATCAAAAGAACTGACAAGTCAAAGTATACATATTTGTTTGAGATCCTTAGATTCAACTATTTTAGAACTAAGGCATAATCTCAGCAATAATTATATAAATCAGAAGTAAAATGGGTCTTACCTTGGGAACTTTGGGAGGACTCTGTAGAAGAGGAACTACTATCTGTATAACCCTGTGGTTCTTCCTTTCCTTCTTGAATAGATGAATTACCAGCCTCTGCCACCCTGGATGCTTGTTGTAATGTTTCTGTGACCAGTTGCCTTGTTTGTTCACTAACAACTGTCGCCTGAAACGTCACTGGTTTGGGTTTAATAAGAACCTAGAAGACAAGTGGAAATACAACCAGTATAAATTTTTGAGCATTTAAAATATATTTAACTTCTAGATCAAATAAATATTTTCCTGACATGGAAAACCGTACTCTGTCCATTTATTATACTTGGGGCACAGCATTGATCATCACAAATTCAATCTATGAATCATATTATACCAGGCCACATATACATTTCATGCTACAACAGCTACAATCCTGACAAGAGCCTTTGCCCTGTTTTTTCTTGGCTATAATGACTTCAGGAATCCTTTTACGATCTGCAGTTATATGGTAGAATGATAGCCACAAGCTAAGGACGGCAGAACAGAACGACACAAGGAGCCGAGATTCCCAGGGGAAGTATGTGTGTGTCTGTGTGTGTGTGATAGAATTTAAGTATTTATGTATACTATACATAGTCAGCATAAGAGGAAAGATTTCCTCAGATCTCCCAGGAGAATTTTTGAGCCACAATAACAGTCCAGGATTTCCTTCCTCTAAATATTTATCAACATAATAAAAATAAAACCCTAATTTGTTTAAGCCACTGTTCTTCAGGTTTCTTTTTAGCAACCAAATGAAATTCCTAATTAACACACCTGCACAGAGTAATCTTGCTTAGGACCTAAGTCATCTTTTAAGAAATCTTCAAAGGAACACTAATTTAGACAACTGGGTGTGCGTGCATGCTCAGTCATGTCTGACTTTTTGCGACCCTATGGACTGTAGCCCACCAGGCTCCTCTCTCCATGGGAATCTCCAGGCAACAATACTGGAGTGGGTTGCCATTCCCTCCTCCAGGGGATCTTCCCCACCCAGTGATTGAACCTGCATCTCCTGCATTGCAGGCAGATACTTTACTGCTGAGCCACAATTTAGACAACTACTATAGTCAATATGGAACATGTGACAGATCAGCTCTTGGCAAAGGTCAAAACCACAGACAGTAGAACAAGTGAAATGGGAAGAAAGTTTCACACTGAACCATTCAATTCAAAGTGTGGACTCCAGGAGTTAACTTCAATTAGGTACATGGAATGAAAATGTTACTTTACCACAATTATTTTTTACTTCTCCATTTATAAGAATCTAAATCTTTCAGACTCTATTAAGTCACCCATTTCCAAAAATTCAAGAATGAAAACATGGGTTATGACAAAGATGATGGAGCAAATATAACAGTTACCACTGAAATTTAAAGCAATTTGACCTTATTAGAAAATCACAAAACTAATGGCTTTGATATATAAACTATTTGGCTATAATATTGAGGAAAACTGATTCTAAAGGCAAACTATTAGTTTATAGATAAATTATTATCTTTTACAAAAATTCTAAAATAGCATTTTTCAACCAAAGTTGACATCATTTCCTTTGATATTCACAAAAAGTAAAATACCTGCAAAATAAACAGTAGCCCAGCAACACAATTTCCCAGGTAAATTTCTAGAAAAGCTCCCTTATCATTTACTGGTTGAAAAATGAACAGATCTCTACTTTCTCCATTATTTAGGTTTCAAGAAAATAAAATTTTATAAGTAAATATCTGAAGTGCTTTCAAAGGTCATATAAGCTTATACAAAAATATTCTTTGACAGATTATGAATAATTACCATCCTCTGTCAACCATCTACTTCTCAAATAACAACATACACCTTCAGCAAATTTTACTCCAAGGGGATTCTATTCTCTAAATTTTGCTCATGACATGACACAAATATTTAATTTTTTTGAAGTACTGAAAAGAGAAACACAGGTTTTGAAAACAGATGGTTATAAACATTCAATCATAACTTTTAATAATCTGGTTCTTTAATGTTACTCATCTTTTTGTTCAGATTTCTACCTTGGAATTTTAGGAATTTGAAATATACCAGAGTCAAGAAAAATCACCATATCTTAGCATACCTGTGTTTTCCCTTGCTGCCCATAAACAATTTTTGTTGGGATGATTTTAGCTGCTGGTTGAACTGTGGAACCTATACCTTTTGGCTGAGTTACAATCATTTTGGTGATGGGTCTTGTAGCAGTGATAATAGCTGGCTTTGCTCCTGTTGGCACCGTCTGAATAGTCTTTTCTCCCTAAATTGAAGTCAGTAAATACATGAGATTTACATACATTTAAATGGGGGAAAAAAGTCCTTTTACTGAAAAATCATAGGAAAGTTTTACCAGGATGATGGGGAAAGGGTTGCAAATTGTGCAACAAAGTATAAGCTTCCAGGTGATCAAAAATGTTAGAACTAGTTGAAATGATCTTAGAAGTCATCTGATCAACCTTCTGTCCAAAGAAGGCAGTAAATATTTCTTGGTGAGTGAATTTTAAAAATTACCTTATTTAAGAATACTTAGTATTCTCTGTCATTCACAGAATGTATACTAAAAGAGAGTCAAAAATTATAGAATATATACTAAAATGTTAACAATGGTTATCTCTAAGTGTTGGAACTACAGGTCGTGCTCCCCCAACATTCGTCTTTATGTGACAGTTTATATGAAATAAACATATGTGTAATAAAAAAAATTACTGTGCATTCTACCAATAGCTAAATGTTCACATACAAAATAAACTAAATTTCCCAAATATGAAGTTATAAGGCTATCCAGCAGAATGTCTATGTGAAATGGTATGGGCAAGAAATGTAATCAGCAGTGATATTAACATTTTTTCTGAGGTTACACTGGAAAATACAAAGAAAAAACAGGACATTTCCCACATTAGCATGTTACTAATATCACTTTAGTCTATTAACTAGGTAGTTAAGCCCATTAACTTTTCACCATTTTCCACATTTTCATCTGCTTTATTCTTAAGTACTATTTTCTGATCATTTATGGAGTCAATACTTGAGCTTAACAAATTAAATTCAAATACAGTCATTTTACTAAAGTACTAAAATTTTAAAAATTAAAATCCGTAAAATTAAAAAGGAAAATATCTAAAATTTTTTCACCTTATCAGTTTTTCTTTTCAGTCACCATCACCTAAATGTGTGGCCACTGAAATTTAGCAGCCAGTAAAAACAAAATACCTAGGTGAACTGGCAAAAAGGTAATTACTCTGTGAATTTAGGTTAAATGATTACAAACTTCACAAGTTTAAATATCTGCTGCAATAATCTAAGGAAAACATGGAGTGTCTGCCAGCTATGTGATTACTTATTTTAATACATAACACACCCTTCACGGCAGCATCTCTGGAAAGAGCTCTATAGTCATTTGCCAAAAGCTGCTAGTTTGCAAATGGATGTGCCCTTCTATTAAGAAGCTCAATGGTCCCTGTCCAAGTATAATTATAAAGACCCATTCAAAACAAACTAGCAGGCTTATTTTTTGAAAAAGTTCTTCTGGTTGTGTGTGTGTGTGTGTGTACATGCACAGGTAGGTGTGTGTGTGTGTGTGTGTGTGTACATGCACAGGTAAGCAAGTTACGAGTATAGGTGCATGTACGTATGTGGTTGAAGAGGATGGTCTTATACCCTGATCTTGTTTAACTATCATTTCTTGTGTCAAACTTTTTGCTATTAGATATATATGGCAGCTAGTACTCACACATACTATTTTTAGATCTATATGACCGTAGGACCTAGAGTACATGGTACCCCTCTCTTTTAATATCAAGTTCCATGAAATTACAAACCATGTAATTTCTGAAAATCTATATTCTAATTCTGGCTTTATTTTTGGCTTACTGTGTAAGCCAACTAAAGCTAGGAACAATCTACACTTTCCTATGTGACGAAAAAATCTAACACTAGACACCCACCAGCACCATAAAGACTATGATGCCAAGGAAGCCACTAGAGATGAACTACAATGAAGTATAGTATTCTTATTTCTAGCAAAGTAGATATACTACCAAACCTCTATAGTTAAGTACAAAGAGTAATAACAGTAAGAAAAAACAATTTATTGAGGATTTATGTGCCAGGTACTGTTTTAAGCACTTTTAAAACAGTCATCAGTTAGTTACTCTTTACTCAACAAACTCACTGGTAGAGATCATCATCCCCAATGTACAAATGAGGAAATTATGGATGAGAGAAGCTGAATAAGTTAGCCAAACACCTATGATACTCAGAGACAAAGCCTAGGTTTGGCTAACTTCAAATCTCTTAACCTTGTAACAATTGCCTTCACAACTATAAATGCCTCTCTAATTTACTTTTTTTCCCACTAGTTCAAAAAAGAAAATAATGAAAGAAACAAATCCTTGTCATTAATTTAGTCTTAGCAGCAAATATTTCTCTTTGCCTAACCTACGTCCAGTACTAGACTGGTATCTACTGGCCATAAGCAGGAATAAAACTGTCCACTGACAGAGCTCCCTCTGAGTTAGGCTGGTAGAATCTTCCATCTGAACCAAGCTAAGATTGAAATCATGGTCATAAGCAACATAGCTATGAGCAACATGTTTTAGAAATTACTGTAAAAAATGGCATCAGTAGGTGGTGTTTTTTTACATTACAGTGGGGTAAATCAAGCCATTCTAGCCATTGTGGGTTCTAAAGTCCTTAGACAAATATTTATATAGCTGGTCTTTAAAATCCTTAGTAGACTGCTGAATCAGCAGTTCAAGCTCTTACTTACTCCAGCATTTAGCAACGTTGTGACAACGTTTTTGCCCGGGAGGCCTTGAATGGTCGTTCCTTTTCCTGTAGTCTTTTGCACAACAATCACATTGGGCTTGGAAGTCATGGGGATTGTAGTGATTTTGGTAGTCGTTCCTTAGAGAAGGGGGGAGAAAAGGAGGCCTGAGTTAAGGACTAGTGATATTTGGTTATTTCTATTTATGTTGTACACAATTAAATACATGTAGTCAGTGTCACCCCAGAGATGTCAAAGCTGTCATGAGGATGAAAATGAAGGCCTTGGAATAATAAATTAAAAGTTGTCCTAGAATGAAAGAATGTTAAGAATCGATTCTTACAGTGTTCATCTTTTTGGAATCTAAAGACCTACATACCAAACTCGGAATCTAAATATATCACCATCTGCTTCCCTATCGATATTCTTCTTCTGACTAGTTAACTGAAACAAATTAGACTATTTCATGACAAACATTTCTCCCAAACTCAATAGTATTACCTGTGTGACTAGTATGATAGGAAAATGCTTCAAAAAAAGAACATAAAAAAGGGTAAATGTATATCAAAATTCTCATGTAACACTAGGCTATAGAGAAAATTTATGAAAAAGAAATGTCATTTATTTTTATGTGAACAAAAAAGAAAATAAACACTAGTCCCAGACCAAGTCAGATGAAATGTGTACTCTTATAATTTGCAACATTCTGAAAAGTCTGAGGATGAAACCCTAATTTATACACTTAAATACATTAAGATCTATATAGTAGATCTATATCTACCAATCCAAACATATTAGTATCTTACCCTCTCCCCCACATCCTTCCACAACCTGTTTCTCTTGTATCAAATTTATCTTCCTATCATATCCATACCCCATACTCTTCTAATTGTTCAAGCTGGAAATCCTGGTGCAAATCTTTGATTCTTGCCTTGTCTTCACTCTGCATCCACTAACAAAATGAAGCCTCTTAGCTCCAACTGTAATTTTTTATGCCACTGACTCCTCAGTGTTTAGCACACATCGTACTGCAATTACTCAAGTTATCATTCAATGAGTATATGAATGAACTAAATTTGTCATAACAAATGTCTTCTTTCAAAATGTTATCAATGTCAGCTCAACAAACAGGCCCACATCTCTCTTGCTTTACTGTATCTTCTCCCTAGTTTCAAGTTTCTCTGTCATGCAGATAGCTCTGATGTATCCTGCCATAGCAAACATTCTTAAAAAACAAACAAACAAACACCACCTCATTTCATCATGCCACGAACCAACAACATATGAAACTGGTCAAAAACCTTTCAAATCCCCACTGTATTTAGTTTCAACTTCCCTTCCTGGGTTTCAAAATCCTTTATAATTTGATTTTATTTGTTCCCACTGCACAATGTACACCATAAACTCTATAGTTTAACGAGTAATTTCTTTTATTATGGCTTCCTATTATCTACCACACGAAGACCAAACTCTTCAGCTTAGCCCTCCAGGTTTCATCAGACTTTAATTTTCAGGATTACCCAATATATCTCTTCTTCAGTGTGCTGATTTCCACATCAGTCCTTGAGCATACTAGACCCAATGCGCCCTTTTAACCTACAATTTCCTGTGGCTATGCAAACAGGCAAGTCATATTTTTCTTCTACAGGTTTGCATACCATTTATCAAATGACTAAGCATAGAATGGATACACACTAAATACATGACTGATTAATATACTTGAGAAGAAAAATTAAAATTTTATTCTCTTCTACTGAGAAACCTTAGCATTCTCTACTGTTTCAGAAATAAGATTGATAAGAATAAGAATGTTCTAGTCATGTGTCAATTTTTGGCACTCTTGTTACAATATAATACACTTGCCATCATCTAATGCCTCACCAGTCAGAGGTAAGGTGCTCAGGTTACATAAAAAAGCACTTTTGTCTATGGGCCAGTTCCATCAATATTTTTTCCTTTATCTGTGGTCTGTGAATAGTAAGTTGTTAAAAGCCACAAAAACCAAGCTGCCTATTACTTGCTTTTATCAACTTTAACTCTTATTAACTCCAATTCCTCATATGTGATTGACTATGATGTCTTCTCTGACAATGCTCCCTCACCAAATATTTGGTTAATAAAAAAGTGTTTTTAGAAAGTAAGCATTAAATACTAGCTCAAGGAAATGTAAACCAAGCTTTAACTTTATAGCAAAGTATAAGGGTCACATTTTTGACAAAACTTACTTAACAAATGAATTATCTTTATAACTATGAAAATATCAAATCCTTTCTATTACAGGTGTGTCAATTTGTGAGACAGCTGCAAACCAAGCTCCCTAGCTTAACAAAATGGGAGGCGGGGTGTTAGAAAACTGAAGAAAAGGCATAACATAAGGAAAAGCAAGTACAGCATTATATTAAGATAGAATACGATTTATAACTAGAACTATCAAATTATAAAAATTTAAAATTCTAATAGTATATTTTTGTATCTCAGGTGGTATCTATTATATTGAAGTAAGAAGTATTACTCATTTTAAAAAAAGTCTTCCTCTATGCTTTCATAGTATTCAGCCTATAGTTCTCATGTGACAAGAAAATGTATAAAGTTCACTTATTTAGCATCCTACTGTAGGGCACAGAATGTCCCTTGTGTACATCACTGTGTATCACAGCACCCAACCCCACATCTAGCTCATAGCATATTAGAGAACTCACCTAGACACACAGTCTTTACTTATAAAGAGTCAAAATACAATAGGTGCAAGTAACTGTGAATCACAGTTGGATCATAGGCTATGACACTGACGCATTCCAGAGATTCCTATTCAAAAATAAGATGCCTGTAAAACTTTGAGCATTATGGAACGTGGGCTTAAAGAACACAGATTAATTGGCCTAGATTTTATTATTCACTGATCCTTAAATCACTGGCAATTTTGGTTTTGGGGGTAATTTTTTATGTTACTCTGCTCAAACAATGAGCAAATGAATGAATGAATGAACAAATATACAAACACTAGCCCCTTGCCTAGACATTGTACTAAAGATAAGGGGAATCAAAATCAAGTCCTGCCATTGTCACAGGTTCTCATAATGTCCTTAGATACAAGATAATGATTTTACCTCTAAAGGATCCATCTTCTACATAAAATAGACATGATTTTTCAACCAACCTTCAACAAAGCTCACCAATAGACTTACGTATCTGATAATTCTCTCTCTACATATACATATAAGTAAATACTTGACTGCATAAGATATAAATGAAATAACTGCAAGAACAGTCATGCCTTCAACTTAACTGCTTATTCTAATAAAAATAAAAACTTGATCTTTCTAGAAAGTACTCTGGAAGCATGAATTTGCCTTCCAGGATATTACCAAAGGAAATAAGAATTTCATATAATAATTTATGTATAATAATATTCTTCATAGGATTTTCAATGCGAAAAAAACTGTTAAGTAACCTAAAACATTCAGCAATGAATAAACTGTTAAATTATGGTGCATTATAGGAGAGAATATTGTATAGTCATTAATCTAGGGTGTGAGGTATCAAAATATATTTAATGGAATGAGGAAATGATATTATTATATGAAAAAATATTAAAACTGATTATATAGATTTAAATTTAATTTTTAAAATATACATATATACACAAAAACATTTATACAGAAATCTAAATAGAAAAAGGAATAAACAGAAAGATACAGATTACTTCCCTAGATGGCAAAAATTATAGGTTTTTAGTTTTCTTTGTATACCTTTCTGTATTTTCCAAATTCCCCACAATAAACATAAAAGTATTATTTTTTTAAAAAGCTTTCTATTCTTAAAGCCAGATGTATGAGTGTATTTTAAGAAAAGCATTTCTTTTTTGTTGTGGGGGTAGTGAGGGCATTGACTCTAGCATCCAGCATCTGATCATGGATGAAGGCAGAAAACTGTCTAAATTCATTCAACCTGGCTTACTGGTTTACTGTGAAAAGACAGGGATTGAAAACTAAATAAACTGACCAATAATCCCAGTATCATGGAACAAGAATATATTAAGAAACACTGACACACAACATAAGGATTAAAGTACTCAGAAATGAGAGAAGTTCTTTAGAATGAAAGTGTCAAACAGCGAAGTAGAGGTTGAGGCAAAATGAGCTCCATGAGCTAATTCAGCTGTGAGTCCATTACATCCTACAGCGCTGAAAAGGTTTAAGAACTCTTCCCCTACATATCTATACACTTGAAATAGCAACGAACCACCAGTTACTTTATATTTTAGAACAAAGGTAGATGATGTGATTACAAGTGTAGGGTATATACCTCACTGCCCCTTTGCTTCTAGGAAAATGTGCTTGTGTATACTGCTCTAACCTCACACAGAGCAGCTAAATCATAAATAAGGTTTGAAAACAAGAGGCTTTGTGACATTCCTTTACCTAAGTAAAGAAATACCCTATGGTCATAAAAAGTTATACACTAATAAAAAACATGATTACTTTTTGAAAAATGTTTAAGTATGTGCTCTATACTATTTAAGGATATTGTCAGGTAATAAATTACAATCTGAGTTTTAACTGTGTTATTTAAAATATCCTCTTAAAAGCTGGAGTATGATGATTCTTTCCCTACTGGTTTCACCCTCCTTAGTTTGGCAAACATCAAAGTTTCTCACTTACACTTAAAAACTAGAGCCAAAATTAGCAGCTTTAAATATAGAACTTTATGCCAATACCACGCCCTGCCTTGTTTTTTTTCCACTCCTTGAGTTATCAGCAACATCATATTACTGCCAGGAACTTCAATTCCTTCACTTTAAAATGTCAGAACAATTCACTGGGGGCATACAAAATATGGCTAGTCTACAAAAATGGTAGACAGTAAAAGTTCACAGGGCTTGCCTGGTCAGAGATTATTCACATCATTTTAATTAAAAAATAATAATCAATGAAAATAGATACCATATTAACATTCCACTTCAGGGTACACAACTCAAATATTGCAGGAATAAATGAGCCATTAAAAACCAGGTAGGGTCTAAAACACCAATAAATATTAGCTTTCATTATCTAAGTTAAATATTTTTAAAAAGTAAATAGCCAATATAAATGGTGAAAGGCAAATAAAAATGAATCAAGTATTTTTATTTTTAATAAGCTAAAGTGATATTAGTAATTGAAACTATGAAATTATGATTCCACAAACATATGCAGACAAATAAATACTAGTTAGTAACTGAGATTATGATCCCACAAACATATTTAGAAAAATAAATACTAGTTCTTTCACTGTCTAGTTTATGTGGCTTTGGACACGTCAAGTTCATCTCCGAAATGTAAAACACATCTATACCTATAAACTGGAGATGACACCAACTATTTCAGAGTTTTGAGGTAGAAATGAATTGATAGATGGGACAATATTTTGTAAATGAAACATCTCTATGCAAATATAAACTATAATCCTTCCATTCTGATTAAAAGCAACTAAATGTTCTTTCTATTTTAAAACTCTCAAAAGCTTAACATGTCAAGATTTTTATAGTGGAACTAAAAAACTATACTTCATCACTAGACATAAGGGCTAAAAACAAAGTTCTAGATTTCTAAGCAGAAAACTGAGATCAAACAGTATCCTTTGACAGTGAAATGTTTTTTCCTCTTATTGGTCACCTATACCTTTAACACATTTCAGATATACCTACCAGAAACTATATTACTGCTAATTATCTTGCCCCCCAAGGTAGCTAATGATTTGGGTACTACTGTAATAATGCTACCACTGGTAGTTTTCACGTAGGTTGCAGCTCCAGGGGTTGCAGCCATCCGACCTATAGATGGGCTCACTGTTGGCCGAGTATAGGTTGCCTGTGTGCCTATAAAAAGGGAAAAGCCAAGAAAAAAACTTGTCATCACTTTTAGAAGAATGACAATTTATACAGTTTAACTGTAATTCAATGTAATCTACATTGCTTTAACTTGAAAATGGAATTTCAAGGTGTCAAGCCATTAAGTAACAATTTACAGCCAGTTTTCAATGCACATAGCAAGAACTACAGCCAACTCAATTTAAATTAACTTTACACATAAAATTTTGTGATGTGTTGCATCAAATTACTAACCCCAAGAAAAAGTATAACTAACTCTGTTCCCTTCTTCCACTACCATTCTTCCACTAGCTTGGTGCCAAAAGAAACTTAATCATCTTTCCTGCCAGAGCATTTTAGATATTTCTGTTATACATTTCAAGGTCTCTGCATTTGTTTTATGCTGTCTCAGTGCCAAATCCAATGTCAGCACTCAGCAAATAAGGCAGTATATTGTTTGCCTAAAATTTTAGAAACTTTTACTGTTTTGTACTCTGCTACCCTCTAAATACATTTCCATCATTAAAGAGTTATTCCAACATTTTACTAAAGATTAAGGTTGTAGCTGCCAAGAGTTGCCAGGAATATTTTTTTACCAAAAAAATTCACCATTTACATATTTCCTCAACTTTAACTGACCTGTTAGAATATTTTTCTTCATATCTCTCAAAAAGATTTTACACCCTTCCCCACTATTTCTAGGACTTTTTCCTTCCCCCAAATAGGAACTAAAAATTAACCAGATTAACCTACTGTAGCTTCTCACATATCTGGTAACTCAGAAACACTATTCCTAAGTTTCTAAAACTGTTTCTAAGAACAGTTAGTTCTGGGGAGAAAGAAGATAATTCAGGTAACACATTCTTCAACTGATAACATTTTTCTCATAATAGGTTCAGAAGTCACTGTAATAATCATTTTCAAAACCCCCCTAAAATTGGTTTTATCCAGTTAGTATTTACCATTTTAAAATACAATCACTACCCAAAAAAGGGAAGAAGCAGAGGAACATTAAGTAGAATTAGTTTAAATTGATTACAAACATACATCTAAATCAGAAAAATAAATCTAGTACAAAATAAATATGCTATGAAGATACATAGCTTGAATTAATTATAACTGGAAAATATTTCAACTTTAGCTTTTGTTTTAAAATTTGCAGAAACACTTATTCTAATATAGATACATAAGCATACATTATTTTTTATTACCTTTTCCTAACATGAGGAATCATATCTTTGTAAAACCAAATGGAGAAAAGTTTTGGGTGAAGAACAACAGATTCAATAAAAGAAAAACTGTTTTTAAAGCATAGGCTTTGCAAGAAGATTAAGCAGATTAAGTAGGTTATTGTAGAATGGCAGTTGTCAGGGACTGGAAGAAGGTGGGAATGGAAAGTTACTGTTTAATGGGTAGTTTCAGTTTGGGAAGACAAAAAAGTTCTGGAGCTAGATGGTTGCAGTGGTTGCAAAACAACATTAATGTACTTAATGCCAATGAACTGTACACTTAAAAATGGTGAAAATGATAAATTTCATGTTATCTACATTTTATCACAATCTTTTTAAAAAAAAGTTTTGGGAGTCAAACAGTCCTGGATTCAAATTCCAGTCCTGTCTTTTATAGACTGTGTGGCTGTGTAATGCTGCTATACATAAATCTCTGTTTTGTCTCTGAAAACGGAGACATTAAAGCTTAAGGGAGATTAAGGGAAATGTTTATACACACTTTTACATAATAGCCAATAGGTGATAGCTTATAAACTTGAGAAAGGAATCACTTTACACTCTTCAGATTCTATCATCTAAATCTGTTGTTGTTCAGTTGCTAAGTTATGTCCAACTCTTCATGACCCCATGGATTACAGTAGGCCAGGTTTCCCTGTCCTTCACTATCTCCTGGAGTTTGCTCAAACTCATGTCCATTGAGTCAGTGATGCCATCCAACAATCTCATCTCATCATCTAAATTTGACCCTCTTCAAAGAGTCTGGTAATTGTTACACAAATTTAAAATAACAGCAATGGATAATACTAATTCTAACATTAATTTATAGTAATGGCTAGTAAAGCACTCTCCTGGGGACTTAACATACCAGATTTAGTAAAGGTATTATGATCACATTGAAATAGACAATGGAAAAGACTGAGAGGAATTAAATTGGTCAAAGTAACAAAGGATGGTATTATTTAAAATGTTCTATACTGTCACTTCCTTGGGCCATAGTCTGGATGCTCTCATAACCAGGGAAAACAGCATCCAATGCTTCTCTCAGTCAGGCTAACACTTACCATACAATAATGTAACAAAGACTCTTAGCCTCATCAGGGTGAGATTCTCTTGGGCTGGGACTGTGTTTTCATTCACTCAGCAAATCCTGACTGAACACCTACTTACAGATCAGCTCTACATACATATGGTGAATGAAACAGATATGGACCCTTATCCTCATGGAGCTCACAAGCTAATAAAGTGATTAACATCAAACAAACTGACAAAAAAACTACCTAAATAATTAGAAATTGTAGTATGTGTTACAAAGGAAAAGAAGAGGACCATGAGAACAGCAGAGAGCTAATTTGAGTTGGGAGGAGAGAAGAGTCAAGAGAGGCCTCTTTGAAGAATTGTCTCCTGAATTTCTATATTCCCAATGTTAAGCAAATTACTGGGTCAGAGAAATTACTCAATGAGTATGATGAATGAATGGACTGATGCTCAAGATAACTTACCAGTAGGAGTGGTTACCAGTTTAGTTGTCATAATTGCACCATTACTGCTAACCACCATAATAGGGGAATTGCTACTGGTAGGCAGAGTTGCTGTCACTGGTTTGGGTAAGATTTTACTTGGTTGAACTTGTTGTGTGATGATTTTAACACCTTTGAAAGAAGAAAGATAAATCTCAATACAAATTATTTTTTAATAACGTGCTTTATATCAACCCGAGGGCAGCAGCTATACACATTTACTGAGTCTTTAAAAAGAAGCTTTCTTTCATACTGATGAATTATACTCTTTTAACTTTTATCCCTCAAACTCCTATCTTTCCAAATTTCTTTGATTCAGGAATATAATTAAAATACTACAAAAACTATTTAACAAGTTCTTAATGAAAAATGACTTTTGTCTATGATTACATCATATGAGAGCTTTCAAACCAAATTAGCCATTGATCTTAACTTTCACAGACAATGTGTGTTCCATGCAAATACTTGGGATGAAAGGATTAGGATGAGAAGACAAAAATAGTAATGTAGCTTTTATATATTCTCTACTCTATCAAAGATTTTTCTAACCTCTTAAGATTACAAAAAGCAAAAACATTTTCTTTTTGGACCTTTTATTTTTAAACCGACTTATTTTAAAGTATTCAAATAGCTCACTTTGTCAAAAGTAAAGAATATGCTATTATTGAACCTACATAAAATATACATGTGGACAAGAATTTGAAAGCAATTACAAAAATAAAGTTAAAATATTAGGGTGGTGATGTTATATTTTTTATACATTTTTCAAATTTATTTAAATGTTACTGTTACACTGACTTTCCAAATTTCAGATGTCCACTGGAAAAATATCTCTCATGCTAACAACAAATTTAAGTCCTAACAGCTACTAAGGAAGGAAAATTTTAGTAACACTTTTTCCGCAGTAAACTTCACTGAAATAATTCATGGAATAGAATATATTTCAATAGACAATTAAAAATTTTATTACTTTTTTGGATGGTGATTTAGGTTAAGATATGAGGTAGCAAGTAAATATATTTATTTAATAGCCTTAAATAATTATAAAATACTTATACCCAACAAAGAAGTTAAAATAATAACATCTAGGCATAATTAGTCAAACTACTTAGTGATCTTTATGACTCAGCTTTCCGTTCATAAAATAAAGATAACATTAGTATATATACCTTCTAGGATTGTTGTGAAGATTAATTATGGGAAAATTGTGAATTGACTAATACACAGCAAGGATTCAATAGAAAAACAAGTATTACTACTGTATAAACAAATTCTGATTACAATAAATCATAAACTATAAAGCTATAGGGGAAAAATTATTTCTAGAATTATCTCATTAATGAATTACAACAATGCTTAAGGTACATAAAGAAGATAACTCTCATGCTTTTAAAACCATTCCTCTCATTGCTGCAGTAAACAGGAAAAAAGAGGAATTAAGTTTTTTCTTTCCCTTTAGTGAGAACAAAGAAGATAAAGAGAACAGTGAGCAGGCCTGATCATTCCTACTTTTTACTTTAACTGTTCCTAATCTGTTGTTGTTGTTCAGTCACCCAGTCATGGCCGACTATTTGCAACCCCGTGGACTGCAGCATGCCAGGCTTCCCTGTACTTCACTAGTTCCTGGAGTTTGCTTAAACTCATGTCCATTGAGTCAGTGATGCCATACAACCATCTCATCCTCTGTCAGCCCCTTCTTCTCTTGCCCTCAATCTTTCCCAGTATCAAGGTCTTTACCAATGAGTCTGTTATTTGCATCAGGTGGCCAAAGGATTGGAACTTTAGCATCAGTACTTCCAATGAATATTCAGGGTTGATTTCCTTTAGGATTGACTGGTTTGATCTCCTTGCTGTCCAAGGGACTCTCAAGAGTCTTCTCCAGCACCGCAATTCAAAAGCATCAATCCTAATCTCTAGCCTGTAAGTAAGATTGCTTTTTGCTCCCTAACTCGACATGAGCTACATTTTGCACCTATTATTCTTTGACTCTGTGTGAATTACATCCTGACTCTGGTACTCACCTTTATAGCACTCGCTTCATAGACCACCCCTCAGTTTTTCTCTTTTTGCACTACAGAAAGAAGGCCACAGGGCTACCAAACTGCCAGATTCAATTACTGGGTTACCTGATGCCACTCTATCATTTTTTTTGAAACAATGCAAGAGGAAGAATACAAGATCCTTACACCTTTGTTTCTCATCATTGACTCTTGACTGCGAACCCTCATCTTATATGAGCCCCTAGACTCTTCATGGAAGTGGAGGCACAGTTTTTGAGGCACGAGGCTGTTGTGTCGCCCCTGCTGCTGCTAAGTCGCTTCAGTCGTATCCGACTCTGTGCGACCCAGTAGACAGCAGCCCACCAGGCTCCCCCGTCCCTGGGATTCTCCAGGCAGGAACACTGGAGTGGGTTGCCACTTCCTTTTCCAATGCATGAAAGTGAAAAGTCAAAGTGAAGTAGCACAGTCGTGTCCGACTCTTAGCGACCCCATGGACTGCAGCCCACCAGGCTCCTCCGCCCTCTGCTGGCTGAGAATTAAAGCCACCTTTCTAATTCCTCCAAACTCTTGGTCTTTGTATTTTTTTATTCAGCTTCAGAGGGCAGAGAAAGCCAAGATTTGGGCCCTAACATCACCAAAACAAAACAAACTGTGTGGTGTGCTCAGTTATGTCCAACATTTTGTGACCAAATGGACTGTAGCCAACCAGGCTCCTCTCTGCATGGGATTTTTCAGGCAAGAATACTAGAGTGGGTTGCTATTTTCTCCTCCAACCCAGGGATGGAACCTGCATCTTCTGTGTCTCCTATACTGGCAGGCAGATTCTTTACCACTGAGTCACTTGGGAAGCCAACTGTGTGGTAATGGATGTTAATTAAACTTATTGGGGTCATTTCATAATATATGCATATATCAATCATTATGTTATACATCTCAAACTAATAATGCTATATGTCAATTATACCTCAATTTAAAATAAGCAAATGACAAAAACCATTCCAGAGATTGATTTCTGACAAGAAAGCATGAGGAGCTCTGCTGACAATGAAACTGATTTTTTAAAAATTAATAAATAAAACCAACCAATGAAAGGCTCTGGCAACAGTCCCAACACCAAATGAAAAACATCTATTCAAGAATACATTTGGTAAGACAGGAAAGATCTATAATATTTAAACTAAGACCTGTTCCTCCTCATCCCTCCCTACAGGTGAAGCAAGGACTCCTCTCCAGACTGCCATAGTCAAAGGCACAGGGTTTTCTCCTTCTCCAGCTCCTAGTTGGAGAGCTTTCTTCTGAGGAGTAGAAGGACTTCAGCTTATCTCATCCTGCTCCCTGGTACCTGCTGCTAAGTCACAGGCCACTGCAGTCAAGAGGTGGATACTCCCTTCTGCCCAGGCCCCAATCCATGGCTCGATCTTGGGTAAAAAGCCTCTGAGAATATGGGGCTCATGACCACTCATGCTCTGGCTTGTAAGACAGTGGCTCCACCACTGGGGAAAGCAAAATGAGAGGATCTCAGGCTGCTTGCCCACTCTCCCACACTTGACTTCACTGAGTGCTCTCAGCTCATAGAGCAGGGGTAACATTCGGAGAAAAGCCTGCCATTACCCTACCCCCAGAGTTCTAGAGCTGCCTGAGGATAAAAACAGGTCGTAAAACAGATAGCTCCCTAATCTCTTCCCAAAGAAACTGAACTCATTTGTAACAGAGCACGGAGAAGTTCAAACCTAAGGGTGCTCTCAAAAACAGTGGAGGATGTGACGAAAAAGACTAGAGATCTCTTCAAGAAAATTAGATACCAAGGGAACAATTCATGCAAAGATGGGTACAATAAAAGACAGAAATGGTATGGACCTAACAGAAGCAGAAGATATTAAGAAGAGGTGGCAAGAATGCACAGAAGAACTACACAAAACAGTGTCTTAATGACTCAAATAACAGGATGATATGATCACTCACCTAGAGTCAGATATCCTGGAGTGTAAAGTCAAACAGGCCTTAGGAAGTACCATACGAAAAAGCTAGTAGAGATAATGAATTCCAGCTGAGCTATTTCAAATCCTAAAAGTTGGTACTGTGAAAGTGCTTCACTCAGTATGCCAGCAAATTTGGAAAATTCAGCAGTGGCCACAGGACTGGAAAAGGTCAGTTTTTATTCCAATCCCAAAGAAGGGCAATGCCAAAGAATGTTCAAACTGCCACACAACTGCACTCATTTCACTTGCCAGCAAAGTAATGCTCAAAATCTTCCAAGCGAGGCTTTAATAATACATGAACCAAGAACTCCCAGATGTACAAACTGGATTTAGAAAAGGCAGAGGAAGCAGAGATCAAACTGCCAATATCCACTGGATCATAGAAAAAGCAAGGGAATTCCAGAAAAACACCTACTTCTGCTTCATTGACTATGCTAAAGCCTATGATTGTGTTGGTCACAACAAACTGGAAAATTCTGAAAGAGATGGGAATACCAGATCACCTGACCTGCCTCCTGAAAAACCTGTATGCAGGTCAAGAAGCAACAGCTAGAACCAGACATGGAACAAAAGACTGGTTCCAAATTGGGAAAGGAGTACGTCAAGTACTGTCACCCTGCTTACTTACCTTACATGCAGAGTATATCATGCTAAATGTGGGGCTGGATGAAGCTCAAGTTGGAATCAAGATTGCCGGGAGAAATATGAATAACCTCAGATATGCAGATGATACCACCCTTATGGCAGAAAGTAAAGAAGAACTAAAGAGCCTCTTGATGAAAGTGAAAGAAGAGAGTGAAAAAGCTGGCTTAAAACTCAACATTCAGGAAACTAAGATCATGGCACCCAGTCCCATCACTTCATGGCAAATAGATAGGGAAACAATGGAAACAGTGACAGACTTTATTTTCTTGGGCTCCAAAATCACTGCAGACAGCGACTATAGTCATAAAATTAAAAGACGCTTGCTCCTTGGAAGTAAAGCTTTGATAAACCTAGACAGTGTATTAAAAAGAAGAGACAGTACTTCACCAACAAAGGTCCGTCCAGACAAAGCTATGGTTTTTCCAGTAGTCGTTTATGAATGTGAGAGTTGGACCATAAAGAAGGCTGGGTGCCACAGAACTGATGCTTTTGAACTGCGGTGCTGAAG